TTCCTGCTTCGAGCCCAAAGGGCATCTGTGACTCTGCCTAAAAATCTTTATGAGTTCACACCTTCGATCAAAACCATGAACCCAGCGTTACGTGGACATGAAGCCTGCATGTATAAAGGCTCATTTACATCATGGAGCCCTGTTCTCAACAACGGTCATAGACGTAACTCTGTGTGATACATGTTTAAAGTTTAGTCTTGTGCTGGACACGACATCACCGGGCCGGCTCGTAGCTGCTAATAGTTCCCTCCATCCCTCTGTTGGCAGAGCAGAGAGCAGACGTCTGCAACATGCAATCATTTAATGGAATAAAACTCTTTCCCCCCAAACATCATAAGCAGCTGCTACATGTGCATCACACTACAAACACAACATTTCTTACCAAAGCACGACTGGGAATCCCAACATCAGCAAACTCTCAGAAATCTCTGTTAGACTCCCCCCCTCACTCATTTATACAAACCTGAACATCACAGCTACAGACAGACTTTCACATTTTAGTGCAGCGAGACAAAGAACGACGAACAGCTCGAGCAACAGGAAGTGAAAGTGGATGGGATGCTGTTGCAGCCAGAGGCAGTAAATGACCCCACACACAGTGGGTTACTGGTTCTCTCAGCAGTTAGCAAATATAAACTACAGCCCAGTGACCTCACACTCTGTAGACGCCGCTAAACATGTCGTAAAACCTTAAATCGAGCTTGACAGACTGAGTTGCACCTGTAAAAGGCCTCCATGGAGTAAAGAAGCTTCATACATGCAGCGTTTCATTAACACAGTGCTTTGTTATTACATCCACAGCCCAACATGCTCGTCTTTAAACTGAAATTACTAACAGAAAACAAATATAAAGCTGGAACCAGCAGTTTTTATTTCATGATCAGCTTCACTAGAAAGTGTAATTAAACTATCAGATGAAGACACACACACACACACACACAGCTGTGAGACTGACCAGCCATCATGGCGACCATGCTGGCTCTGTAGACGTTGGTGAACGAGCCGAGCTCTCCGACAGCCAGGATGGTCTTCATGTGGGCGGGGCCACAAGCCTCCCGAAACTGACGGATCTCGTCGTACATGGCTGCAGAGGGAGACACAAAACTGAAATCACTTGACGTGTTCAGTGCACGCCCATGTGTGCGTGTGGGGGGGGACGACACTGAGGGAGGGAGGCCTCACCTTCTCTGCTGCCTTCATGACGCAGACAGAAGTGACAGGAAACGGGCGGATTACTGGATTAGCCGATGGTTTGTTTTGTAACTGGCATTTCATCACGTATGAAACTCTTACTACAGGCTCAGACATCAGTATTCGACACACAGATCCTTCCATACAACCACAGTAACGACAGTGAGGCTGCAGCATACCTTCCCACTGTCCTGTAATGGCCAGCATCCTGTTGATGACGATGTCGATCTCCGTCGCGCCGTCACTCACTGCTATGCGCACTTCCTGCAGGCGGGTCTCCAGTGGAGTCTGGCCAGCTGGGAAGCCAGTGGCCACTGGGAGCAACAGATAACACAGTGGAGCCCAGGCAGCACAAGCCTTTCATTTTCTATATTACACACACAGGGTTGCCATAGCTACGACTTACCTGAGGCGACAGGAAGGCTGGAGTCGGCTGCTTTAAGTGCTCCGACAGCATCAGTCACACGAGACGGATACACACACACCGCTGCTGTTGTCACGCCTGACATCAGGGATCAGAGCAAAGAAGAAGAAACGTGGTGATAAACTGGCCTGTGGCTCCCTCTGCAGGCGGACTAGTGTCTGAGCAGTCTGGCATGCTTACTCATCAGGTAACGATGACAAATAGGATGATAAAACTGATCAATGAGATCATGGTAGCAGAAAAAGGTAAATAAAACATTTGAATTCATGCGGTTGTGAGATGTTAATGGTTCAAAGCCTCCTGTGTTTGACTTTCTCTGTGAATAAATGAGCGACAGCCGTCCTCACCATCAACGTTCACACTGGCTTTAAAGGGAAAAAGCAGCTGTGCGTCTTTGTCAGAGCAAACTGGAACATGAGCGCGTAACCACAGTGATGTGTAACCCTGTTCTGCACAGAGACGAGGACACTAATAAAGACCAACACTGTGTGTGCAGAGTAACGCACCTTTCAAACATTATGGGATTAACGATGAACGTGATTAAACTTAAAATGCACGTGTAATATCTTTTTATTTCATCCAGTGAGCCCGGTGTTAGAGGCTCTCAGAGGTTCTTTTAGAATTAATGACCCGTCACGTCCCTGATCTGGACTTTGACTGGGACGCAGCAACAACGGTTAATGGTTATTTTGTTTCTCAGCAAACAGGAAAATCTGCTTTTAAAGTAAGGTTAGTTTTGCCACACACGACTTTTTGTTTGTGTTAAATAAAATAAATTTCACGGCTTTTTGTTGATGCAGGATTATATTTGTCCGATGTTGCGACCTGTGATTTACACATTATGTCCTGACAGGTGAAATCGTAACATGGAAACAGCCGTTACTTGTTTCTCACGTGATGCCGACGGGATTTTGCTGGCATGATTTGGGAAAACTGCAAATGAATACAAATTTGTTGTGATTCCTTTTACACTAATGATGCTCAACACAACAATATTCAAAACAGCAGAGATTTATTTTACTTATAGAGACGTTGAGAATTAATACTAAGCACCACTGAAGCTATCGTGACAGGATACGCTAGCTCATTATTTACTAATAATTATTTTATGACACTAACGCTTGTTTTCATTTTATCAGTTTTCCTGACAGACGTGAGGGCGGACCTTTGTCGTGCATATCAAGCTTCTTGAGCAGGTCGTATCGAACTGGCTGGATAGCTTTCAAACAGAGCCTGTGCACGTTGGAGGCCGTATCGTCTCCGGCCAGAGTGGTCAGGTCGATCAGGGTCGCGGCCTTCAGCAGCCACGCAGCCTGCAAGGACACACAAGGAAACAGCGCTCAGAGAAGGATACACCGTGAGACATGTTAAAAATGTAGCCCTGAAACCCGCCTTATAGTTAATACTGTCTATGACCACAGAGGTGTGCTTACATGGACATACACATAAATGCATTTTGGTGTTACAAGTTAAGACAGCGTGGGCTTGTTGTCATCGTGCACCACAGCTTACAGCACAGCTCACCTGCCACTGTTTCTTGGGGATCTTCTGTCTTTGGATAAACTGAGCCCTCTTCAACACAGCCTGTGTGTTCACTCTCACTTTGGATATCCTTTCCAGGTCTGTTATGAACACAGAAGAACAGAAACAAACTCTCTTTATTAAAGTGGCTGAAACACGCAGAGAGTATTTCAATCAGATGTCCTCTCGATACCAGAGGCAGAGATCAAAGCAGCACAGAGGGACGTGAGCATGAGGTGTCTAAGCACAACAAACTGTTGTATGTGAGGCCTCTTATCTTTATTTATATAATGCCACCCACTTGCTGCACATAATGTCCTCTTTGTAAATACTCATTCACTGTATATAAAGTTCTGTCTCTCTTTTTCACTGCGTGTTATATCTGTATAACTATGCACGTGACAAAGAAGCTTGAATCTTACAAAGACTCACAGCTATCTGCCCCAAAGAGGAACACCAGAGAGAAACCAGGAGAGTAAGTCAGCTTTGAGCCATACAAGGTAGAAACTCAGCATCAGGGGAACAACATGAGAACAGCCGCCAAAGGCAGGAGACTCAGTAATACTGGAACAATCTGGTGTTTAAGTCTGACGCCATTAGTCAAATGAACACTGCAGCATCACTGAGAGTTAAAACTGTCTAAAGTCTTTCATCTTTAATAAAACGATCAGTGTTGCTGCTTTACCAGGTGTAACAATTAAGTTTAACATCCAGGCATCCATGAAAACAGAATTTATGACATTTAACAGAGTTAGAAGTTAGCAGGAAGTTAGCTCGCTAGCTTCCACCTAAA